TAACATAATGAAACCCATTTTAACTATATACAATAGTAAAATCTTAAGGTAATAGAAAAAATAAATTTTAAAACTTAATCTACTTAGAGTTGGAAACATAAACTATCTTTTTGTCTATTAGGACCAAAAGGTGGCTTCAGAAAAACAAATACCTAGGACTATAAACCTAAGAAATATCTGTAAATACCTCTACAATGAAGAGGAAAGCTATGATACAAGACAGTGGATAAGAAAATGGAGAGACACTCTGCGTTCAATGTCTGAAAGAATTAACTATGTTTATTGCAGCATTATTTACCATAGCTAAGATAGAAACCAACCCAGATGGCCCTCAGTAGATGAATGGATCAAGAAAATGTGGTATATATACACAATGGAATTCTATGCCTTCATTAGAAAGAATGACATTGCCCCATTTGTTAGGAAATTAAAGACTTGGAAAAAATTATATTAGGTGAAGTAAGCCACGCCCAAAGAAACACAGGTCCCATGGTTTCCCTTATTTTCAAGTACTAGTATATGTCTGAGACAAGCAGAGACAGTCAGATAAGTTGAAGTTAGGCGATATGAACCTCAAGATAAGCATTCAATTTTTTTCTTTCTTGCGATTGTTTCTGACATATTTATAAGATGAATTCTTTGTTGCTTTGTATGTCCCTCCCCCACGGTATAACCCCTGTTTTCACTGTATTTGATGTTGGTGTATTTTGTGGAGGGGAAGGGAAAAAACAAATTGTTTAAATAGGGATACAGGTGGACCCATTGCAAGAATGAGATGTAGAAGTCTTTATGTCAAAAAATGAACTTTATAATTTTGGCGTGGCAGGGTAGGGAGGAAGGAGGGGAGGTGATATGGGATGAGAAGTGGAAACAAAGGAGCAGGCAACAATGCTTGATAAGAAATGTACTCATTACCTTGCCCATGTAATTGTAACCTTTCTGTACAGTAAAAAAATAACAATAAAAAATAACAAATAAAAAAGTAATAAATAAAAAAAGTATTAAAATTGTGAAAATGGCTATATTCCTCAAAGTTACTGCACATTCAGTGTTATTCCACCGAAAATTACAGTGTATTTATGAAGAAATATAAAAAAATTACTAAGCCAAAAACCAATGGGAAACTCTTTTAACCCTAGTCAAGACTAAGAAGATTCTTCTCAAAATTCAGGCTAGGTAAAAAAAAAAAAGTTTCTGAGATATCTTGCCTGGGTGGGGTGGCAGATGTCTGTCATCCCAGCTCTGTAAGAGGTGGAGATTGAGGAAATAAGAGTTCCAGGACAGTCCTATGTGGATGTTAGTCACAACGATGGTGCCTGCCTATAATCACCACTGGGATGGAATCTGCAAAAGGATTGAAGTGCTGTTGTTTGCACAGCTATGAAGAGAAACTTGCCACAAAAATACACAGAGTGAGCTGGTAATTGGTGACTCCTATCTGTAATACTTGCTATTCACCAAGTTGAGATCATAGCATTGCAGTTCAAAGTCAGCCTGGACAGGAAAGACATTGAGGCTCTTATCCATAATTATCTACCAATAAAAAAGCTGGAAATGGATCTTTGGCTCCAAGGGGTAGATTACAACATTGACCAAAAAGCTCAAAACCAGTGTGCAGACAGTGAATGACCAGGAATAGCACTAAGGTAAAACAAAAACAATACAAGAACAAAAACCTCCAAAGTCACAGAGCAGAGGAGACATAGCAGGATTGGGATAGAGTAACATTACTTTTTAGTCTTCATTGTGGGAATCCTCTACTAAACTAGCCAGTCTCACACATGACTTAAACCTGAAGGGGTAAGAAAATGAGGGCGGGAAGCAAAGTAGCTTGGATTCAATTAATAGCCTAGAGTGGATTTCAGGTAGGGTAAATAAAATGACCATCAGAGCTGTTGCAGCCCCTGGAATTCCAGATATGAACAAGCTTTAGCACAAACCCATGGTAAGATATTATCTTAGTAGAGAAACAATGAACACGTCCACATAAAATTTTTTAGTGACATAAAGGTGAGAGGCCTCAAGTCAGCAGGATACTGGGGTCAGCTACATCTCTAAGCTTTCCTTTTAGCTGTGGATGGAACCACAGCTCAGCAGCTTCCAAGCAGGGAAACATGGGCAAGAGCAGAATTGATGATTGATTTTGGCAAAGGAAAAGATACCAGCTTGTAAGACTTATGTGAGGGGTGATGTGCCCAAAAGGGAAACTTATTTCATTGTTGGTGGGATTATAATCTTGTTCAACCACTTTGGAAAGCAGTATGGAGGTTCCTCAAAAGACTTCACATAGAGCTCCCCAATGACCCAGCAATCCCACTTTTGGGCATTTACCCAAATGTTTACAAACAAAACCACACTAAAGCTACCAGCACAACTATGTTTATTGAAGCCTTATTTACCATAGCTAAGATATGGAACTAAACCAGATGCCCCTCAGCAGATGAATGGATCAAGAAAATGTGGTATATATACACAATGTAATTCTATGCCTCCATCAGAAAGAATGACATTGCCCCATTTATTAGGAAATGGTAAAACTTGGAAAAAATTATATTAAGTGAAGTAAGCCAGGCCCAAAGAAACATAGGTCCCATGGTTTCCCTTATTTGCAATATCTAGTATATGTATGAGTCAAGCAGAAAATGTCAGATAATGTGATGTTAGGAAAATGAACCCTTAGATATGCATTGAAATGGTTTTTTTTCTTTCATGCATTTGTTTCTAACGCATTGATAAGATTATTTCTGTGTTACTTTGTATGTCCCCCCCCCACATTATAACCCCTGCTTTTACTATATTTGATGTAGGTATAATTTGTGGAGGAGAAGGGGAAAAACAAGTCTTTTAAGGATACAGGTGGACCCGTTGCAACAATGAGAAGTACAAGTTGTCATGTGGAAAACGAACTTTACAACTTTGGTGAGGGGGGGCAGATTGGGGGTTAGGGGGAGGCTGGGAAAGGATGTGAAGGGTAAACCAAGGAGGAGGTTGCAATGCTTGATAAGAAATATACTCATTGTCTTGCCCATGTAATTGCAACCCCTCTGTATAGTATATTCACAATAAAAAAATTAAAAAAAGAATTATGTGAGGGTGGGGGACTAAGGCCCCAGACCCTAGTAGTTCCATTGAAGATTGCATTAAGCTCCTATGCTGGAAAATAGGTGCTTAACAGACTCAGTTCTAGAGTGACATCTCTCAAAAGCCACCTACTAATTAAAAATATCACTCCAAGTAATGGACTGAGAACTGTGAAAAATAATCACAAATATATGTTAAACCTGTTCAGCAAAGTTTTTAATACAGCAGAAAGCACTAGACTGAGAAGTACCAAATAGCACCTAATACAATGAATACAAAAATATCTTAAATATCAAGGAATAAATGTAACCAAGGTAGTGAAAGAAATCTACAAAGTAAAACATTGTTTTTTCAAAAAAGTATGACATAAAAATAAAAAATCTCCATTGTGTATAAACTGAGAAAAGAACTGTTGTGAAAATATCTGCATCGCTCAAAATTATATATATATATGTATATGTACATATATGTACACAGAAAAGAAAAAAACGCACACTCATATATATGTATATATACATATATATATAAATATAAATAAATAAATATAAATATATATAAAAAACAAAGGTCTGAAATCTTCCCAGATTCTGATCAGTGGATAAATGGA